AAAAAAAAATTGCCACTTGAAAAATGGTCGTATTGGGAATTAAAAAAAGTATTTTGAAGCTCAAAGATCTTAGTTTTTAGATCTAATTTTTTTGGAGCTACGGTTAAAAAATTTTGAAAATTTTTTTCAGAGTTCACGGACTTGTAAATTTTTTTTTCAGCTAAGCCATTGCATGGACCAGATAGCTGATTAATTCAGCTTCAATTTCCTTTTTCTAAATTTTGATACGACCATTTTTCATCGAAATATCGGACTTTTAATGGAAAAGGATTCTTTTGTGTTCAATCATCGATATCTCGGCGACAAATGGTCTTACAGAGAATTGAAGGGCAGTTTCGAAATTTGGAATAAATTTCCTATAACATGCTGCCGCAACTTTTCGAAATTTTTTTTTTCATCTTTTACACGAATTTAAAAAAAAACTGGAAAAAAGGCTAATTTATGGTTTCTCAGAAAATTGACGGCTAAATTAGAAATATTCACGAAATGACTAATGTTAAGCATGACTTTTACAGTTCGATATACCCAGAAGAACCCTATGCAGTTTCATTTCGATCTAGCGAACCTTTTCTTTGTTTCAAGCAGTCAAACTTTTGAAAAAAATTAAAGGGTCACGTTTTTTCAGCTTCAACACTTCGTAATCATGATTAAAATGGAAAAAAAAAATTCCAGGTTTTCTCACATTTTTACCGCAAAATAATGTTTACAGACTGCACAAAAATTAAATAGAAATTTGTCTCAAAAAACGGTGTGAATCGGGGTCGAAATCTGGCTTGGGTCATCAACTTTAATTTTAATTTAATTAAAAGTTGATGAATAGAAGCATTGGACGGAAAAGCCGAATCGTGTTGGAAACAATTGAATTTTTTTTCTTGAATATTCGGAAGGTTTTCCAAAAATTTAAAAAATTTTTTTCAAATTTTTTTGTTTTCATCAATTTAAACGTTATTTGCGGTAAAAATGTGAAAAAATCTAAAAAAAAAATTTCTTCCATTTTAATCATGATTGTGAAGCTCAAAAAACGTGACCCATTAATTTTTTTCAAAAGTTTGTCTGTTTGATACAAAATCGAAATGAAACTTCAAAGGTTCTTCTGGGTATATATTATTATTATTATTATTATTATCATAAAAGTCATCCTTAACATTAGTTATTTCGTGAATATTTCTAATTTAGCCGTCAATTTTTTAAGAAACCATAAATTAGCCTTTTGCAAAAATTTTTTTCGCGCTATTTCTTAGAATTGCATGATAACCGTAGCTCCTAAAAATTTCGACCGAAATATCTAAAAACAAGAATCTTAGAGCTTCAAAATGCTTTTTTCAATACCCGATACGACCATTTTTCACCTAAATATAGTCTGTCAAAAATCACGGACAAATTTCGGAAATTCTTTTGACCCTTTAATTTTTTTATTAGTTTATAACGTGTATCTCGATGTATCTCGAGTAAATATCAACGATTGTTTCAACAGTTTCGAAAAAATCGAAAATCCCTCTTCAATGGGGGCTGGAAACATCGTTATTATTTAAATTTCATTAGTACCAGATGCAGTTGTCATTAGGCTGCACTTTTAACGGGTGGGGGTGGATTTTAGCATTTTGCGTGTGTTTACATCATTCCCCGTAATTTGTGGCCGGGAATTATACATAATTGAACCGTTTATAATTCTCGGAAACCAGTGGCGTACCTTACCTACCATACTACGTCCTTGATGTCCGCGGATACCAAAAAATATGCACGGAAAACATTTCAACTTTTAAAATCACGAAAATAGTTAATTTTCTAAAGAAATAGACAACATCCGGTATAAATCGATTTCATGATTTCAATTTTTTTACATATAAGAATTCTAATACCAATACGTTTCATAAAAAAACCAATCAGTCCGTAGCAGCTTTTTTTACGAAGGGAAACCTTATTTCATAAAAAAATATTAAGGAAGCAAACCACCCACGACATACCGTGTGGGTGTTACGTAAGTAGCCACTGAAAGGCAATCTTGGATCTGCCGAAGCTACTTGGTTAATATTTGAGAAGGTAGCGGAACGTATACATTCGTTATTGCGTTTCGATACGGCTAAATAAACACGAAATCGAAATATATCTGGATAATTATTATTTATACTAATGATATTAATAACTTTTTTCTCTCATATAACTTGATCTGTGTTTACATGAAAACAAAAAAAAAGAAGATGAATTTGTACATTGTTATATTCTAATATTTCCACAAAAGAATATGCTGTTTTCATTTCGTTTATTTTTTTCCAATATTATACATATCTAAATGTAGGCAAAGTAGCATTAAATACATTTAAATTTAAAATGCAGATTTTCATTTCGTTTATTTTCTCATCGGAATAGATTTGATTTTGATTTTTCATAAAGCTATTGTCCTGTCCCCCCTTCCTGCGCCGACGGCCACGCCACTGACCGTCGTACGACGCAGGAGGCTATGCATATGTAAGACCATTCGACATCAGCGCATGGTCTTCGCTGGTATCTTGTTTGTATGCCAGTTTCGTTACATGCAAAGTGGTATATTAGTGGCCAACTGTCCGACATGTTTACTTTATTACGGAAGTGGCGAGTCGCCTGTTTCCGGAAATCTCTACGTGCTGCACTGCTTTCGCTGGTTGGTGGATAGGCGCCTACAATCGAACGCAGTGCTTTATCCTTAAGTCCTTGCGTTTGCAAGGCGGGGGCGGGAGATGGGGATATTCGAGTACTATACTTTTGATTATAATTTATATATTTTTTTAAATTTTAAACCGACCATTTTTGTTCCACATATATAATTTGAAAATCTAGTTACAACGGCATGTATTCATCGATACAACTTGAATGTACAGGGTGTCTCAAACTTGATAGCAAGGGATGAGGTAAGCTCCATTTTTAATCGAAAATATTATAATTATTATAAAACTTTTATTAGAGGAATTTTTCTGTATTATCTCCCGTTTAAAAGTTATAAGCAATATCGTCCTAAAGAGTCTCAAAGAAAATACCACCTAAAAATCACATTAATAATGGAAGGATCAAGTAGTCGTTGGAAAATAATAATTGAATGTTTGTTGTTTAAAGCGCATAAATGTCATTAAGAGTAAATAAAAGGATTCAACCCGATAATTCTTTAATACAGTTAAAATAATAGGTGATGATAACAATAACTAAATTTAAAAAAAAAGAGCAAACGCTTTCATACTACATACATATTACAATCTATTCTCTATCTGACCTTTTCTCATTTCAAGACACATATCCAATCCTGGCCTGACTTCTTCGTGGGCTACGTTTATTAACATTTCGTCATTTAACTCATTACAAGCGTTTGTAACTTTTTCTTTCAAATGATTAATATCTCGCGAAGGTGTTTTGTAAACCTTATTTTTTAAAACCCCCCATAAAAATCGAGGGGTGTTAGATCTGGTGACTTTCCGGGCCACTGAATAGGTCCATTAAGCCCAATCCATTTTTCTGGGGAAGTGTTATCTAAATATTGCTGCACAATCCTGGCCTTGTGGGGTGGAGCCCCGTCGCGTCGTGCTGAAACCATAGGTTTCTCCTTAGCTGCAAATGCACATTATCCAGAAGTGCAAGAAGTTCTTCTTGTAGGAAATTTAGGTAACTCACGCTATTCAATGTACATAAAAATAAGGCTAAGTAAACAGGACTTTTTAAAAATAAGAACAAAAAACAATGTTGAAAATAACTTTTAAACAATTTTTTTATGCATTTACAAATTTAAATGCTTATTTGTGGAAAACGGTTGGCTTTAGAGATATTAGCAATGGTTTTTAAGCAGAAAAGTTGGGGGGGGGGAAGATTTTTCCAGTCCAAAGTGAAATACACCGTGGCACAAAACTGTTTTGGCAGTTTGGCCGCTTGTGGCGCCCTCTAGAAGATACAACGAAATCGTCGATAAATTCGAATTTCTCAACCCAAGAAACCCCCGGATACGAAATTTTACGAAATTAGCTCGAAGTAGTCGCAAGGTATTAAAAAAATAAATTTCCAACTTCAACACCCTGTATCTTGAGAACTAAGCGTTTATGAGCAACATTGTATATGACTTTTCCCTATCAATTTTCGTCGTAGAATCTAGTGGTAAGGTTTGGCCCATTCTTTAACGGACACTCTGTGTGAGAAAAACTTAGCTTTTATTATTATTTTGTTTTTTTTTGTTAAACGTGAATATACAGGGTATTTCTAAAATAGGGTTCTAAACTTCTGCTGCGTATATAACTCATTAAAATAAGCCAAAAAGTTCCTATTAACATGTGCCTTAAAACGCACCCTTAGGAAGTTATATGCCCCTAAAAGGGCTCAAACAAAACTGTTTTTTTTTCTGTTATTGACAAAACGGTCGCAAATAAATGGGAAAAATTTTATGGGTCTTACATAACTTTTTACGTTAAATAACATGGGCTACTCCGTTTTTCGACATGCAAATCATATGCGTCCCATTTAGGTTGGTGAAGGGGGTTTTCGGCCCGTAACTTTTTTTATTCACATTTTTTTACAATTTTCTCTACAGATTTATAAAATCTTAACAATTTTACGTAAAAAATACTATCTTTGTCCAAATCGATATTTCCAATGGTTTTCGAGGAAATTGAGTTTGAAAATTTTAATCCCATTATTTTCTATTTCACATTTAGCTATTGTCTGCAGTAGTAATTAGTTCTTTAATTAGTAAGTGTAACTCTAAATTTAAATAGTCTTAGTTTATGTCCTAAATTATTTATTAAATGATCGAACCCTTCATAACTGCAATTTATTTGAAAAAAAAAACAGTTTTGTTTGAGCCCTTTTAAGGGCATATAACTTCCTAAGGATGCGTTTTAGGGCACATGTAAATAGGAACTTTTTGGCTTATTTTAATGAGTTATAAACGCAGCAGAAGTTTGGAACCCTCTTTTAGAAACACCCTGTAGATACGCGCCTTAAAACAATCTTAAATTTCCATCTAACTAGACAGCCCGTTTTTGTTGTAGATCCAAGACTGAGGCACAAAAGCCACGACATCCTCCACTTCACCTTCTCCGACAGCATAACGAAGTTCCACGTCAGCAACGCCACCCTCTACGTCTTCATCAAGGGCGCGGAGCGGCGGCCGTTGCCCGACGTCCTCGTCGAGGTGTTCAAGGTGAAGAAGATCACCGAACACCCCGACCCGCCCGGTTTCACCAGGGTCTACTCGAGGAAGGTGACCCAGCCGTTCGGCAGGGGCGATTGGGTGAAGATCGACTTCACGGAGACGGTGTCCGAGTGGTTCAAGGGTCCCAGGGACAACCACGGCTTCGTGGTGAACGCGACCGCCAACGGGAAGAAGGTGGCTGTGACGGACACCAACGCCGATAAGGGAAAGAAAGTGAGTACCGTATTTTCGCTCCGGATCATTTCTTTTTATTTTTTCCTTGTTGAAAATTAATAACGTAGTCAAGCTCTTGAGAGGGATATTCTTTATTTAATTTGTTACGGTTTAATTTTGCGGTAGCATAAATCATCACAATAGCGTTTAATCGCATTGTATCGCCTTCTTTGGTTACCTCGCTACCTTTGGTT